GGAGGATCTTTGTTGTACATTTCATTGAGCTGTTTGCTTTACGGTGTGTTGGCATCATGACCTTTGACCCCACATAGTTTCTGAGACCAGAGCTCTCTAACTGCTCTGGATGTTTCAGGTGTTTCTCTGCTGATGCATTAAATGATCAGCAGGTTCTGCAGCAGGTTCCCTCACCTCCATCCTTCATGTTCAGATGTTTCCCTGCAGCAGCTGATCCAATCACAGCGTCTCCTCCTGAACCTCCAGCTGCTGCAGAACCTGCTGATCATTTAATGCAGCAGCAGAGAAACACCTGAAACATCCAGAGCAGTTAGAGAGCTCTGGTCTCAGAAACTATGTGGGGTCAAAGGTCGTGATGCCAACACACCGTAAAGCAAACAGTTTAATGTAATGTACAACAAAGATCCTCCATTTATGACTAAAACACTGAGAAAGGCTGGTTTGTACAGGTCAGGTTTCAGCAGCACTTCCAGCCCTGACCTTTGACCTCTTCTGTGCTGCCATCACTATTCTACCTAAACGGAGAAACGGTGACAGAAGCAGACATGGACTCTCTGGTTTGGAGTCCCAGTGACTTTATTTACAACTTCAGTGATTCAGCCCTGATGTACAGAAGACATGAGCTTCAGCTGGTTTATAAAGGAAAAACAGAATAAAAGTAAACGCTGTAATCTGACCATCTGATGATGTGGAGCTGAGCTCCTGAGAAAAAAATTGCAGCGCTTGCATCAATGTTTATATTTACAATTGTCAGTTCTTCAGTTTTATTCTCAGCTCTCTGATTTGTGTGCATAACTTTTAGGTGAGAAGGTTAGATGTAATATATCATTTTGTTCAGACAGCAGGAAACCTTAAAAAGGAGCTGCAGTTCAAACTTTTCACATTCAGTTTGTTCTCTGCTGTTTGAAGCTCTGATAGAAACAGGTGAAGTGAATCAGTTGAGCTGAACTTTATATATTCTCTCAGTGCTGAAAGTCTCTTCCTGCTATAAAAATGTCTCAATGTTCACGTTTCAGGTTCTTGATGGTTTTCAACATTCATAGCCTGAAGTTCTGCTTCTGCTGCAGGAGGCTGCTTCTGTTCCTGTGATGAACGTCTCAGTTTTTTATAGAGCAGAAAACCTGAAACAGCAAATAGAGCCAGAACAGCTAAAACTGAGAGACCAACTATCAGTCCAGTGCTGTCCTCTCCATCCCTTTGTCCTTCCTCATTCCCTCCATCCTTCTTTTGTTCTTCCTCTTTCCCTGTAAACAGAACCAGGAGTTAGTCTGATCTGCTGAATATCATCACCTGCTGATCTCAGACCAGCTGATTTCTACTGAAACAACAGAAAAGACAAACATCTGATCTGACATGTTTCTCTCTCACATTAGTAACCATGAAGCAGCTGCAGGTTCTGATCCAGTCAGACTCACCTGGAGCAGAAACATCCAGGTTGATGGTTTTGATGGGATCATTCTTCAGGTGAGATCTCTTCCTACGTCTAACTTCTCTCTGAACGACTCTACATTCATACTTTCCAGTATCATCAGTCGTCACATTCCTCAGAACCAAAGACACGTTTCCATTCTTCATCTCTCTGTCCTGTAGATCCACTCGGTTCTTATAAGCTGGATTCTGACCCTCATTATCAAACAGATCATCTTGATACAGAGCAACATGATCATTTTCCCCCAGATCAGGTTTGCTCCACTCTAAGACAACAACAGGTTTGTTCTCAGCAGCTCTACATGGCAGAGTGATGTTCTCTCCAGGTTCAGCTGTGATGTTCGTCTCACCTGCAGCATAAGAAACAACAGAGGTCAGAGGTCAGAGAGGAACCCTGATGAGGGTCAAAGCGAGTTTTGGACATTGTGAGTTTGAATCCCAGCCTGATGTCCTTTGCTGCATGTCTTCCCTTCTCTCTTTGCCTACTTTTCCGTCTAAACACTCAAAGGCTGCCTGAGCCAGAAAACTTTGGCCGAGAAAACATAGGCTATTTAATTATATTTATTTCTATGCAGTTTAATTAATATTCAATAAGTTAAACAGAGAATCCAGATCCCATCAGACTGTGGTCCCAATAACTACATAAGATCCATGAAGTTAAAGGTTAAACCTGCTGGGTCTGAACAGCCTCATAACTTCCCTTCAGTTCACATCTGGAGGAGAAATCTGGGCTGGTTAATCGGTCCAGTTGGATCCGTCTGATCCAAACCGATTAACTTTAATCAGAGGCTGAATTAAGCATTTTATTTAATCATGACTTCACTGCTTTAGTCCATCATCTGAATAAACAATGTAACTTCTCCTGTTTTTAGCTTTTGCTCTGAAGCTAAATGGACCCTGAGCGTTTCACCCCGTCTGCTTTCACAAGGATTTTTGGGAGGTTATTGTTTCACTTCCCTGCTGTCCAACCGTGACGTTTGCTACGTTCCTCCTCTGTACAGACAGGTGAACCTTTCTCACTTTAATCTACTGAATTCACCACAGGTGGATCCGACTGACTCTGTGGAAACGTCTGAAGGATGATCTGTGGAAACAGCTCAACTTTTACCAGAACAGTATCAAGCAAAGCCTGTGAATAATAAACTAGATTTTTGGTTTACTATTAAATTAGCAACAATTTTAACTTTTCCACATTATCATGAGGTATTTGTGTGCAGAATTTTGAGGAAATTAATTTAATACAATTTGGAAAAAGGCAGAAAGAACAATGTGAAAAAGGTGAAGCTGTGAATACTTTACAGATGTGCTGCATTTTAATACATTTCTAACTTCCTCGTTGGTCTTTACATCACTTCCTGCTCACTAAGAGCATGAGCTGCTGTCACACAGAAATATTCCACTTTCTTCCAAACTGGTTCCTGCATCACATTCAGCTTTAAACAGACTGAATGTCAACACCAGCTGGACCGAGTGGATCAATAAATCTTTTATTTTATTGATCGCTCCAAGCAGGTTACAGTAAATCCACATTTACACACATGAGCAGATCAGTTGGCAGTTTTGGGTCAAGTTGATTCATTTTGAGTTAATCAACTGGAATCGATCATGAAACCTTCAGACTGAAAGATACTCGGCCTGAGCTACAGTCACCCAGCTGGTTTCCATGGTAACAGGGTCTGACTGATGCTGATGGTTGTTCTACTTAAACTAGCTCTACTTTTACAGGTCAGGGCAGTTTGAGCTGTTCTATCAGCCTCTGCTCATTAAATCCTCTAAAGTTAATATTGTGATTCAGAAAATATAGTTTTATTTTTTCCTTCCCTGTAATTTAGGCTTCATGACAAATAATGTATCCTTCACTCAAAGACAGTTTAGATTAATATTGTATTTAATGATCCTGTTCATTCTACACAAGCATCATTTGAAACTTTCATATTATGAAATTTATCCACTTATTTCCAACTTTACTGTCACCTCAGTGGATGCAGACATGAGTCTTTATTTCACTCTGACTGAGGAGGAGCTTTATATCAACTTGTATTCAAAAAGGAAATTATAAGCTAAACTTCAGCTTTACATTATTTTGGTCCAGTAAAATCAAAGCTCTGATAAATTATTTACAACAATGTTTTAGGCAAATAAATAGTCTGAAACTACGGAGGGTTGCAAAAGTATTCACACCCCTGGGTCGTTTCCATATTCTGCCACATTACAAACATAAAAATGTTTCAGTGGAATTTAATGTGAAAGATCAACTCAGATGGTGAAGAAGAAAAACTTACAGATGAATCAAAACATTTTTACAAATGGAAAACTGAAAAGTGCGGTGTGCAAAAGCATTCAGACCCCTCGTCTCTGGGAGCAACCAGTTGCCTTCAGATTAACCAGAGTTCAGCTGTGTGTAATCTAATCTAATCTAATCTAATCTAATCTAATCTGATCTAATCTAATCTCATTAAATCCAGCTGCTCTGCGACGCCTCAGATAGAGGAGTAAACAGAACCAACTCTGCACATCACTCTGAACACACCATCCCCACTGTCTCATATGGTGGTGGCAGCATCATGCTGTGGGGTTCATGTCACACCCTTAAAAATAACTTAAAAACTCATAAATATTTTAGCTTTTGTGCAACTTTATTAAACAAATCCACGGTTCGAGCATACAGCATGTGTAGTTTTCTCTCTTTTTCCGTAAAAACATCACAGGTCATGAACTTTTCAACTCCCATCATGCATTGTGTCGTTCTTAAAGGGGTATTATCATGACAGAAATCTATGAAATAAAAAATAAACTAATTTGAGCACATAAACCAATCAAATTGTTCTAACTAAATACTAAATCAAATAAATACTTGCCAATATGATCAATATACCTATTAATCAATCAATATCATGTTTTTAACATATTTTCAGGCTCTACATTCAGCAGGAACAGGAAGATGGTCAGAGTTGATGAAGATGGAACCAAATCCAGACAGAAAACCTGCTGGAGTCTGAAAGACTAGAGACTCTGAGCTTCAGCTTCCAGCAGGACTGTGAGGATTTGGGTTTCTGTGTTTATTATGGTTTCTGTGTTCAGTTGAGTCTCCATGTTGTCCTGTCTGCCCCTTGGTTGTCCCCAGCTGTCCCTCATTTCCCCTGATTACCTTCCCTGTGTATTTAATCCCACCTGTTTCCTTCTCTGATTCTTGTCATGTCTATCCTGAGTCTCACATCAGAGTCGTTGCCATCAGTGTTGAGTATCTTTGTCTCTATGCTCACCTGTGCTGCCTGGACTTCTCTGTGCTCTGCATTAATCATTATTTACTTATTACTCTTATTAACTCTTATTATTTGAACAATATATATTTGTTTGTTTTCTTGTACCATTTCTCTTTATTTTTTTCATGAACTTATTTCGTCATCAGTTTTAAACCTGCTTTTAAAGTGCTATGTAAATAAATTGGACACTGACATTGTCCACCTCACCACCTCATCATGACAAGGACAACAGGTTAAAACTAAACATATTCATGTGTTAGAATGGCCCAGTTAAAGTCCAGACCTAAACCCAATCCAGAATCTGTGGCAAGAGGTGAAACCTGCTGTTCATAAACACTCTGCATCTAATCTGACTGAACTTGATTGGAAAAGAAGAAAAACAAAAAATGTTCAGTCACTAGATGATCAAAGCTGGTGGAGACAAACCCTAAAGACTAGCAGCTGCAATTACAGTAAAAGGTGGATCCACAAAGTATTGGCTCAGGGGGGCTGAATACTCTTGCACACCGCACTTTTCAGTCTTTATTTGTAAAAAATGTTTTCTACTTCACTATTATATATCACATTAAACTCCAATTAAATATACTAGTGGTTACAATGTGACAAAAATGGAAAAGGTCAGTTGAATACTTTTGAAAGCTGCTGTAAAAACATTTAAAGATGCATGAAATGCACAATGTCTCGTGACACCTGGAGGCTTGTGTTGGTCAGACTGGATGTGAACCTTCCTGTCTTGATTCCTGTTGACTTGTTGTGACTCAGGAATCTTCTCTAAATACTTTGAACAAATATGAACCAGGAGCTTCATTTTGATCTAAATAGTTTTATCTTGTATTTTAAACAGAGGCACTAAAATCTGATGAATCGACTGAATTTACTGAATGTTTTGTTTGCTGTCGTCATGCACGGCTCTAAGAAATGTAAGGGATGTAAATATTCTAAGATGGAAAAATGATCCGTTACATATTTGTGGGTTTCAAAGTTTAAAAAAAATCAAACCTTTTCCTCATGAGAGTTTATGTTTTGGTTTGATTTATAATCTAATGTGTCTCCAGTTTTTAAAAATAAAAACATAACTGCAAATTCCCACATGAGGCTTGTTATAAAACAAGATGAATAAAACAAACTAAATCATTTTAGCACTTTTTTGTTCAGGTTTGGGGAAAAATCATCTTAATTTCAGCCAGATATGTCAGTACTGATGTGGCTGCATGACTGCTACTGGATTTAATCTGGATATAAATCCAAATACTGATGCAAAAATAATGTTAGAGAGATGGTCCTTCCTAAAAATATAAATAAAAAAATCTCCACCATTGTGATGCCTGTAAAGATTTTCACCTCCTGGAAGTTTAACTTTTATCTTTACAAACTATATGACCAACAAAATTAGCTTTTTCGACTAATAATTATAAAAGCATTTTAATACCAAGTGAAACTAAATAATTAAAAATAATTAAAATAATAATGACTGTATAAACTTTAACCCCGTTAAACTGGCTGACCTAATTCAACAGAGGTCCAGTCAGGCGGTTCTGGTTCTGTAAGCTGCAGCTGGAATCAGATTAATCTATAAACTATTTACTGATTTCTGAAGGAAATTTATTGAACTGCATTTTATTTAGGAGTGTAGGAATAAAGGGGACAAAATGCAGTAGTGTGAATTTGTTAAAATGTTGAAAACCATGAAACCTTTATCTTCTGGATCATAGAATAATGTAATAATTAGTATTTAATGTTCATTCTTCAACAAAATGTAGATTAAATACTTTAAAGTTTGTGGCTTAATGTGAGAGTGAAGATGTTAAAGGGGTGTGAATACTTTTGCAAGGCATAATGAGCATGGTAGAGTGTCTGTGATGCTGTGGGCCTTTTTGTCTAATAACCCAGGTAATAATGTTCTAGTGTCCCATCATGTCTTCTTCTAGAATCTGCCAGAAAATTAATTTAAATAAAACATCAAAACACAAAGATATTATTGTGAACAACAGCAGCTCCAGCCTCAACGCAGGAAAATCACCTGGTTAACCCAGTTAGACCAGTAGAACTAAACTGGGTTAGTCATTTCTGGGAAACTGAAAGAGTTTCAGTCACGTGACGTCGTTTCAGAAACAATAGAACAAAACGACGAACAGTTAAAACCAGCATTAAAGTAGAGTTTATATCAGAGGTCCAACAGATAAACATTATTTATCATTTATTCTTCATATCTGAGGTGAAACTCACCAGCAGAACCAAACTGGACGGAGATCAGGAAGAACAGAACCAGGAACCATGACGCAGCAGGTCGAGTCGCCATTCTTCGTCTTCTAGTTCCACCAGTTTGAGTTAAATATTGTTTTATTCAAGGATAAAATAATTTAACCTTCAAAGATAAACCCTGTTAGATCATGTTGGCCACTAAACATGTAAGAAAATTCAGCTTCGACAGCAAAGCGTCGACGTGGCGTCGTCTGAACGGATGGTGGAAAGAGGAGGAGCTTAGAGGAGGAGTGGAAAGAGAAACGAAACAACTAAACTGGCTGATCTGATCTGATCTGCGCATGTTCAGGTAAATCAGCCACAACTTGGCTTCACAGCTACAGGAACAATAATAACCTCAGATCTTTGATCTACAGTCAGCTTCATCGTTCTCTGCTGAACTTTGTTCTCTAGTAAAAGATAAAAGTTTTATTATTATTCTTACCTGCTCACTAACATAAAGTCAGAAGTTCAGTCACACAGAGAGAAAGTTTCTATTTAATGATTTATTTCAGGACTGAAAGCTGTTCGGCTGTTTGAACAGGAAACACAAAGTCTGTTTGTTCTCAGTCATAAACAAAGTGACCCAGAAACGAAGAGCAGCAGCTGAACATCCTGGTTCATCCTGTCAGTCATGGCTGATGGAGCTTCATGTTCAGGTGGAGTTTTAACCCTTTGTGGTAATAGTGGTGTCTACTATTAAATTTTTAAATATTACATCCAACAACGCTACCTGAGATCTTGGCCCCAGACTATTCAACCTCCAATACCTACAAAAAGGCCACGCCAGGTCGGGACAACAGAGAGGCAGATCATAATGTTTAAAAAAAAAGAATTTAATAATTTATTTTTTCCAAAAGTTTAAAATAGGCCTACAACGATAGAATATATGAGTTAAAGACAGTTTACAAACTTCACAAAATACATACTGCACATCAGCGGCAAGTTGTTTTCAAACCCAAATAATGACTAATCAAAAAAATCAATGCAGAAAACAAAAAAACCAAAACACTGCAACCCAACCAAAGAAAACATGCAAAGCAAATGAACAAACTAAATAAACCAAATCATGCAAGAAATTGACAAATTAAACCTACATGCAAACAAAGAAAAAAAGAAAAAAATACAAATTGTAAATAAACGTACTGAAAAATAATAGAGGGACTCACCATAAACGGTTGAACCCTGGCCAGAATAAAGAATAAATCAATTAGGTAAATGACACCCAGCTGAAAAGACATGAAGCAAAAGTAAAGACAAAGCAGCCTTGCGCCACGGACAATTAGGCGAGGTGCGGCAGGAGGAGGGAGGGACACAACAGTCCACCACCAAGTCCCGAACACATCAGGATCTAAAAATGAAATTTAAGGTGAACTATGGCACTGAGCTCAACAAGCTGACATGAACCCACCTACCTCGGTTAAGAGTTCCACGTCCACAACGCGTGTCTGATCACACCCACTCCCAGAGAGCAAAACGGGACCATCAACCCATCCACGATCCTGAACCCAAAGGAAGCACAATCACCACAAACTAATCTAAAACCCAACAGAAGGAAAATCACAAAGCTAACCTGAAGACCATTACTTGATGCTGGAGGAAAGACAGGATCTCACAACGCCACCTCCACAGCTCAAAGCAACTGTATGTGAGTGTGAACCCCACACACCTGGCTTTAAAGGGAACGTTGGTGCTGCCCACCACTCACCTTAAAGGTGAATCTGCACCAACATACCACACCTTTAATGTCCAACATGTCAGCATTTATTCATCTGATGGGTTTTAATAACGAACCCACAGAACAAATAACTGCATTTGTCCCCCGATTCAGCAATAAGTGTTTGTTTAAACTGATTCCAGATCAGATTCAACTTGTTCTGGTCAAACTGGTTTCAGATTCTCTGGAAAGTCCCAAGGAGCGGCTCCCTGTTACAAGCCCCGCCCCCACCTGATGTCACTTCCTGTCTCTGTAGTCCTGCTATCTGCATAACTCACCTTATCCAACATGTTGCTGCCTGTAATAAAGCAGCTGCTGCTCAGCCTCTGTTGCTGCTCCTTCGTTCAGGTTTAGTTTGATCTGATCAGCAGAAACAACCTGATCAATAATCCAGTCTGCTGGGCTCCAACTCTGGACTCATTCAGCAGTAGAGACATTTTAATACTCATTTTAAAAGTTTAAATACAGTAAAACACATTAAACATCCAGATTCCCCACAGGGACAGCTGCTCTGCTGTCTTCTACTCTACCAGCAGGGGGCAGCACCGACCTGCCAGCTGCCAGGCCCTGAAACAACAGAGCATCTCTGATACACCAACCCTCAGACTCAGAGCTCCCAGCTCTGCTCCTCATGCTTTAGGTTCCTGCTGCTTGATTTAAATAAATGATTATCAGACTCCAGCAGCAAATGGAGCCATTCTGAGGAGGTCATGCAGTCATTTGAGTCGGCTGTGGTAGAACAAGGAATCATGTCTATAATCTATAACATGCAGGACAGCTGGCCTTAATTTCAGAGTTAGATTCTGCTCTGACTCACCTCTTCCTCCATCACAGGTAACTAATCAGGTAACTGGAGCCTGAAAGGCCCCGATTCACAAAGGATCCTCAGACTAAAGGAAACTCCAAAGGAAGACGGAGGAAATATGAATAGAAAGAAGAAATGTTTTCTTTTAACGTTTGCTTGGTTTCATACGTTTATTGTTTTCTTTGTCTATTTTATAACCTGTTGCACAGGCAAACTAGTTTATAATCTGGTATAGATCATCATATTTACCAGGGCCGTGCAGAGACTTTTGGAGGGCTCAAAGTTAAAGAGGCACAAAGAACAAGATCTTAAAACATCGTACAACATAGCAACAATCCATATTAATCAATAATCTAATATTTAATCAGATCAAACAGTCATCATGTGGAGACAATACAGAGCTAATCAAGTCCATGTTTCCCTGATTTATT